TTGAACTAGGGACCCTGCCGTCATGAGTCAACTGTTTTCCAGCTGAGCCACAGCACACACATTAAAGCTCCCTGACAACACTGGACCATATTTATTCCTGTATTTATTCATTTATTTAATCATGTTTTTATTCCTACATTTATTTATGCTTGTATCTATTTATACTTATATATGCTCTCTTAATTCCATCGTGTCACCGGGCCCAGGTAGGGGTAATATGGTTCTTATTATACATCCATGGGTAATATGAGCGTTGTGGTTCAACGGTTCAACCGATCTGAATCGCTTCGTGAAGCAGTCACGTGGTATCGACAGGCAGCGAGGCTTCGTTTGTCATCGATGACGTCACTGGCCCAAAACGATACAAGCCTCGATACATGCTTCACAAAAAGCTTCAGGGATTACTCGACACACGCTCCGAAGCCTCGGCGCAATACGTAACATCACTATGCACTACCACTTTCCTGTCCTTTTCCTTGTCCTATTACACAAATATCAATCGAACTAAAGCCTGATGTGTTTAGAGTGTTCCATGTAAAACACTACAGAGCTTTGAAAGGAATGTGTGCAAATACTAAGACTGACCTACAAACCTTGGAATGTGACTTGTTCAGGGGGCCGCCGCCACCGCTCTGTTGACAGGTGTTTGAGAGTACTACTGCATATGTACAAAAATAGGTTGAAATTAAGTAAAGCCTTTTGTGACTCCACAGGAAGCTTCAATCTGATGAATTAGCATTCAACTACTGTAACATCACTTGAGGCAATTTCTATGTTTGATGCACAGAGTGTAGCCCACTCTTCATCTTTGCTTGAGGCTAATGGTGTGGGGCTAAATTAGCTTCTAATAGCATAACATATCTGAACATCTTACTGAAATGTTGCAATGAAGTTGCGTTGTAATTTAAGTCCAAGGTTTTTTAACTTGACTCAAATAATTTGTAAATGAAACGATACTTAACGAAAATACACTCACCTGTAGAAAAAAATGTATATACTCTGGTCCAAACATTGGCCCTCTTCTATGCAATAGCCTCATTGCTAAAAACATTCCGATTCACAAAGATCATGCAAACGCAGTCACAATGAAGTTGTTGGTGACTCCACAAACGTTGTGGTAACTCTGCAACTTGTCAATCAGGATATTGAAATATCGACTCAAACCCAAGAAAAAAAACGACATGCCGTGATCTGGGACTCATTCCTGCAGCGCTCTATTGCCAATGAAATCCTATTAATAGCAAACTAAAACCCAATGATAGTGTATGTGTACACACACACAGACACACACACCGAGGTCAGGCAGGCCGAGTCCTGGGAGCAATGTCGGCCTGGAATTGATTTCTAAAATGACAGCTCATCAGGTGTTATTTAAAAATATGATATGCGTCCACAAAAATAGGCAATTATCGATGATTCAAGCATGCAAGAGGAATGTAATATTGTTTTTATTGTTACATTTTAAATCTCTCTCTATCCACCTCCGGCTGTTGTGCCCTCATCCCATTCTGTCTGCTGTGTTTTCTGAGAGTAATGATTTCTGAAATGCACATGTGCACACACACCCACACACATGGTCATATGGCTGAGTTAACTTGACAGATTGTCATCAGAATACTGTAATGGGACTCAAACCCTCCCTACACACACACACACACACACACACACACACACACACACACACACACACACACACACACACACACACACACACACACACACACACACACACACACACACACACACACATCAAAGGAGTGTGTAACAGCAGGGGGAGATGATTGACAGGTCTCAAGATGGTGATGGAGACAATTGTAAGCCCTGGACAGCAGCTAGTTGGATAAAACACAGCAATCACCAACAAAAGTGTGACTGGGTGAGTGTGTGTGTGTGTATGAGTACTTTACTTAAAAAAATTAGCATTTGAGGTACAACTTTTGTTGCTTGTTAGAGAAAAGCGAGTGTTAAAGGAAGATGAGTACAATTTTCAAAACAGCTGCACAGCAATTAGACTTAACGGAATGAATTCACACTTAGAGGCAAAACTATTTAATCACAAAGTATGACTGCAACAGATATGTGTTTCATTATTGATCACCGGTATACAAATATTCCCCTTTTACCAAAATAAAGTTATTGTGGTAGGAGGGAAGGATGGAAGTGATGAATCATAGCAAAAGTGTTAAATTGTTCTTTCCTCAAAGAAGAAAGATTGATTCAGAGCACATCACAGCGCATTTAACTTTAAAGTGCTTGGATTTATTTGATGACTAATTTCACCAGCAGCCCTTGAGAAAACCAATTTTAGTTTTGTCGGGCAATTTATTTTATTATGGATTAATCTTTGATTAAATTATTTTACAAATCATCTTCAGTTTTATAAAATGTCAAAATAATTTTTCTTTTACTTTTTTCTCAAAATGTTAAATGTTTCGTTTTAAAACACCATGTTGAAAATGAAAATGGAGGAGTGAAGCAGATGGTGTTAGCTGATATTGATTGATATTGCAGTAACCCAAGGTTTGACTGTAGGGAAGTCTCCCAGCATGCCCTGGGGCATTGAACTCATTGATTTCTCACATTGTTAGCGGTGTTATTCGGTTCTACATCATGTTCCACAGTACAATATTTCCACTCTTTGTTTTTTAGAGAGGGGGGGCCTTTATAATTCACGTGAAACGAGCAACCTTAAGCCCACCTAAAATACGTTACGACGTGGCCCTTATTAAAGCACTTTATTGGAAATGATATTGCTTGCATGCAATCAAATGCACTTCCATTAAATCAGGTGAATTCACATTAAATGATAGAGACCAGGAAAAAAAGGGAGTGAACTTTCATCTGTCGAGGCTGGAAAAACTTGTAAATGTAAATCTGTTGTATTATGTGGTTTATGAACAGATTAAACCTGAGGACAAGGTCATTGCAAGGGCGTTTTATCTATCAGTGATGAGGGTTATGTTAACACTGGGGTTCGTAGCTGAAGAGGTTTTTTCTTTCCTTATGACATTTTTAAAGTGTAACATCGATAGAATATAAGGAAGACATTCGTAAATGTATATTTGATATGAGTGCACACAGTGGACAACATGAGAAAAGACTATTCATGGTTATATTAGGCACACTGCAATAGTTGGTCTGTGTTGTCATGCAGAAAAGGCTCTGTCCTATTATATATATTTTTTTTTTTTCAATCTTAGGCATGTTGCTTTTTTAGTTTTTATACTTTTTGTAACAATATGAGTTTGTATTTTTAAACAAATAAATAAAAGGTAGGAAAAAGAATATCAAGAAATATTGATTTGTCATGATATTGAGTCAGATCTCTTGCATTGCTCCTACTTTCATTCAGATTTACATCATGTTCTACAAATCCACTTTTGCTATGTTTGGTCATTGCCTGTGAATGTGGCTGGATTGTGAACAATAGGTTCCCCAATTCAAGCACTTTGAGTAATCAAAAAACAGAGAGGTTGTGCATAAGCCTGAGTTATGGGAAGGGGTTTGAATACTTTAGCAAGCCACTTTAAAGGACATTGTGTGCGTCATGTCTGCATATTTAACAATTTGTGTGACATATAAGACCCCAGTCTCATTTGCAACTTAACACAGTCACATTAATAAACATTAGTATGATTATTTTTCAAGATAGACCCTGTAAAAGCAAGCATTAATAAAAAAAAAAGAAATATGATTTCTGCCGGTCCATTTGCAGTCCCTGGGCATGAACACACAATCAACAGTAACACGCATGCAACACCATTACATAGTCTCTGTCACACTGATAATTCTACAGACAGCACACATCAACATACAAATACCAGCAAATGTGGTTAATGCTGTGAATCCAAACAAAACTGCTTGGTTATGTAAACGCAACAAATGCTTTTGGAAGACTTTGCTCTTTGATCAAGACCCAATTTGCTCTAAATTAGTAGATCAGTGCATGACATGCTAATATGAAAACATAGCTATGTTCCTAGCTTCCTAAATTCTCCCACACCACTCCGCTCCTCCGCTCCCTTCACTGGCTTCCGGTAACTGCTAGAATCCACTTCAAGACACTGGTACTTGCTTACCATGCTGCGAATGGATCTGGCCCTTCGTACATCCAGGACATGGTTAAACCGTACACCCCAGCACATGCACTACGCTCTGCATCAGCCAAACGACTCGCTGCACCCTCGCTGAGAAGGGGACCCAAGTTCCCATCAGCAAAAACACGTGGGTTTGCTATCCTGGCTCCAAGATGGTGGAATGAGCTCCCCATTGACATCAGGACGGCAGATAGCTTGCACATCTTCCGGCGCAGACTGAAAACTCATCTCTTTCGACTCCACTTCGAGCGTTAGAACTATTAACAAAGCACTTTTATACTAATAAAGGACTGGCTTACCTAAAGCCAGTTGAGTAGCACTTGAAATGTTTGGCTCTATGAAACCTGATGTACTTATATGATTCTGTTTTCTTCAAGGTTGTGTCTTCCTGGTAGAATGTACTTATTGTAAGTCGCTTTGGATAAAAGCGTCAGCTAAATGCAATGTAATGTATTTTTTTGCATGGTCACAACCAAAAAAGAAGATGACATTTTTGAAAATGTCAATGTGCTATTTAAAAGTGAATTGTAAAGTGTCGGATTCACATGCTGCGTTTGGTTCCATTAATAAAAACTGCCTATAATTAAAGTATTAAATACAAAATATGTAATATAAATGATGGAATAACCGAGAAAAGCAGCAGCATTTAAGCAGTTGAAGAGGTTTCTTCTTGAGTCACTAGTAAAATGATCAATTCCTTATCAACAATGTTAGAAATGACCGGCTGATATCACATCTTTGTAATATATTTTTTTCAAATAAATAACAATTCATACAACTAGCTGCACATCATGCTGCTGCTAAAGTTTGAAATATTGCACATTTTATCTTTCTCTGTGGCTTTTTATTTTGTAAGAGGGTGTTTTTCTGTATACTTATCCGAACCTTTGTCTCTGTGTGTAGGTGTTCGGGGGGCGTTGAGGTGATGCAGGTCCCCCGGTCATCCCAGTGGAGGAGCCAACTAACGACAAGTGGCTTTGGCTGCTGAACCCCGGCCCTCCTCCCCTCCACCATCACCACCCTCACCACCCTCACCCCTCCTTCGCTCCCTCCCTCTCTGATGGCTCTATGGGGCGTCCTCAGCCTGAGCCTTCACTGCTGGGTGTGTTTACGGTCTTCAGTAACAGCAGCAGGAGCGACAGCCAGCCTCACCAATGACAAGCCCGGGGGCCCCCTGGACTGGCTCCTGTCTGATAAAGGGCCTTTCCACCACTCCCCGGAGTACATTGACTTTGTGGAGAAGAACCGGCAAGGCTTCTCCACCAGATACAAGATATACAGGTGAGTCGTGACAGCAGGATGAAGGGCCACTTTAAACTCCTACTATATCACTGCTCCTTGTATATGCATGACAAATCTCCCAGCAGCCACATCAAACTGTCACCATGGTTGTCCTTAGAAAGATCGTCTGTGTGTAAAAACTGCCACATGCATAATCATCATCAGCTTTTATTGAAGAGACTCTTGGTCCATTATTAAAAGAAATACAACACTCAAATATAAATTAAAAAAGGCAGTTATACCAATGTTTCCACTGGTATCGTATAGCACTGAGACACGGATTTGAAAGCAGCATAATGACAGCGTTATGAGAAACATTCAATCGACAGATGAATTTTTCCGATTTCTCAAGAGAGCATGGAACGTGTTGACTCGTGTATTACAAAACATTTCACTTGCACTGCACCACCTTGGTTTTCTAAGCATACGCAAACAATCATTATAAGCAACCTGGAGGTTCTTGAGGCTCGCCTTCTTAAACTTGACCCACAAGGGGGCAGTATAGAGAGGAGTGCAATAAGCTCTAAAGAGGTTCACCTTAACCTTATCTGAACACCAAGAGAATTTTCTAGCCAACATGTTAGCTTGTCATCATCAGCCATTTCATCTGTGATGATGTGTTCCAGATACTTAGAGTTACAGCAAACAGACAGCACCTGTCCTGACAGGTAGCATGTTGGAAAACCAAGGTTCTTATCCCCTTTTGCTCCGCAGATCATTACAGCGCTCTTCTTAGCATTGTATTTAACATCAAATTTGACTCCATAATCAGAACATACATTTAGCAACTGTTGAAATCCAGCACTGCTAGGAGAAACAATAGCCAGATTATCGGCATACATAAGATGGTTTACAATCATATTACTTATCACACATCCTGTTTTACAGACACTTAAATCATCTGATGGATAATTCATATAGATATTAAAAAGGCATGGTGAGAGGAGCCCCCCCTGGCGGACTCCATTACCAACACCAAATGGCGCCGAGACTGCATTCCCCCATTTTATCCGCATGCTCTGGTTGGCATACCAATAAGCCAGGATCCTAATTATACTGTTAGGCACACCCCTTTGTCTCAATTTTAAAAACAGTTTATGATGGTTAACTCGGTCAAAAGCCTTAGAGGCATCAATGAAACCAATCAGAACAGTGGAATTCTGTCTTCTATATGTTTCTACCATTTCCTTCAAAGCATAGATGCATAGCTCAGTACCATGCTTAGCCTTGAAGCCAAACTGGTTATCTGAGGTACATAAGTAAGAACATAATCTATCCAACACAATTATTTACAGGAACACACTGGCTAGAGAAATTGGTCTATAATTATCCAAGCTCCCTACCTTGCCCGCTTTGTCCTTCATGACAGGCACAAAGGTAACAGTCAACATGGAGTTCGGCAACACACCATGAGGCCGGTAAAACAAATGGCGAGAGGAAGTGCAACCTTCGTGTTTGCCAGTTAAAGGTGCTCTGCAGTGATTCGGTCAGAGCCGCATGCTTTGTTATCAGCTAGCTGTGCAATTGCTCGATAAACCTCATTAGCTGTGATTCCCACTGTGTCACTTTTCACAATATTACCAACTTTGTAGGGGTCACTTGTAACACAATTAAGTATGGTTGAGTAATGTTGCCTCCACAACTCAGCTATGTTATCGGCTCCAGATACTCCCTCTATGGTACACGGTAACGACGTACTGGCCCTGTTCAGAGCTCTCACCTCCTTCCAGAAGCCAGTCATATCATTATGAAGGAGCTTTTCAGCCATAGAATCCGCTCTCAATGTTTCTGTATGTTTGTTGACATAACGAACTGCATATTTATATATTGCATTTGTAAGCTTTTTGAGATCCAGGACAGGTCCCTCTCTAATAATATGATTATGGTTATGTGTTTAGATTAGTATAACTCACATAGTCACTGTATTTTGTCCTCAGCCATAGCCTATAATCACAAGCACTAGTTGCAGTGTAGAGTCAATTAACATGAACAAACAGTTGTTTGTTGATTTTACGGATTAGCAACAACTGCAGTATTCATATTAAGATGCCAGCAGCCTCTGCTAACATTACATTCTTCACTCCTAGCAGCAACCTGTGGGTCTGCAAGAGGGAGCCAATGCAGTAGTGTTTAAAGCTTGCATTCTTTCTAATTTGTGTACTTCTTGTATAGAAGTGTATGACAAAATGACCCTACTTCTAATTAGATGTATTATATCTATTTGCTTAAAATATCAAACGGATCAACCATTGTAGCCATGCCTCATACTGCTCATACTGTAGCCCTCTTTTGCAGCCCTGTTAGAGAAACGCGGATTTTGGGTCCTTAGCTTTAAAAAAAAAAAAAAAAGAGGAGGTGGAGCTAATGCCTGATCAAAAATTCTACCGGAGATAAAGTTAATTTCTGCTGTGATAAAACGCCATCCTGTTCTAAACCACATCAAAGATCATTTCTGAAACAGTATGGAGCTCAAATGCTTTTTTGCTTGCGGGTTTATCACAAGGTGAGTTCCTTTTTTTATTTCCTGCTTTTTAAACACATGTGCTCTACAGTACAGGTTAGCTCTGAGTGTTAGCGTGGCTTGCTAATGTAAACAAAGACGAGATTACGTCCAAAACATGTCAGGCATTGTTTCTGATAGCAACTTTCTGTGGGTCCGACGCCGATATAACGTCATATCGGCAGCAAATCTGTATCCGCTCGTCGTCGCCTGTTTTTAATCCCTGACACACCGGGGACACATATTTATGTATAAAAGACATAACAAAGTTAATTTTGCATGATAGGCCCCCTTTAAATATAGTCTAGGTGTGTGAGCTAGCTTGCTCAGCCATGTTTAGCATAAGATGAACAAGTAATACTTGCGGAATGCATATATTTTCTAACGACTGACATTGCCATCGTAAACTGATAAAATGTACCAGTTAAATCATACAACATTGAGCTATATATTGCTGCTGCAACAACAACAACACATCACAAAAGCAGCAAGCATGACTTCTCTCTTTACAAACAATAACATTAAGCTTCCCAAGGTTGCTAATATGCGCTTTGTCTGATCGGGCATAAAATTGGTATATTTCCCAAAAGTTGAAACTATACCTTTAAATGCAGTAAGCTCAGCCATGACCCAGTTAACTGATAACAACTATAGCTGCCCAAAGGCTGAGTACCTCCAATATATATTTGGGGGGGTATACAGTATGTATTTAGTACATAGGGTTTGCAAATATAAATCTAATGATTCAGTATCTTTTTAGGACATTGAAAGACATATCTGGATGTTTTTCATTAAATGAATGTAGTACCACAATCCAATCAACACCCAGCTGTTTGTGAGTGTTCAGACAAAATATAAATTAATAGAGGTCCTCGTAATTAATATGAACCATGAACCCCACCCTGAACATGTCTCTACCTAACCCTTATTAAAGCAGTCTAGTGGAACCAAATTGCTTGCAATGAAATGCATCGCAGTTAAATCAGGTGAAGTTGAATAAAATTATAGAGACGAAGAGGGAAGGGAGTGAACTTTCATTTGTCTTGGTTGAATTAACTTAGGTATGTACATCTGCTGTAAAACAGTTTAGAAACGTATAAAATGGAAGACAAGGTCAATCCAAGGGCATTTTATCCTAACAACTGAACACTACTGTAGACTGATAGTAGATCCAAAGCTGCAGAAGGCTTTTATTAAGGGTACATTGCTTTTCCTTTCTTTTTCTGTAACATCAAAATGCAATACAGCTGCATATTTTATGCACAACAGTGGAAAATATGAAAAACCCTATTCATGGCTATTCAGTAGGCAGACGGCATTATTTGGCCTGTGCTGTCATGCTGAAAAGCTTTCCCACAGTCTGTGTTCATATCATCTGGGACATGCTGGGACGGATATTTAATGTTGCTGGCTGTAGATTACTTTCAGCTGTCTTGCAAACCCTCAGGGAGTCACCTGATCAGGTGGTCAAATGAAATATGTTGATTAGCAGCAGAAAAAAATGATGATTTGTCATGACAGCAACACAGTCCAAGGTATCAGCATGCCTCCAAATTAGCAGGGATAGTGTCATGAATCATATCCGTCGTCATTTAGCAGGATGTTGTCCAGGCTCCTGGAAATAGACAGACATGGGTTCCTGACATCTATGGGTCTGTGCAAGCATGCTTTATGACTTCAGTGATCGGTTGCCACGTTAAAGCTTTTTAATATTTCGCTCTCTGGCTAAAAAAGCAGAGATCCTTCGGAGCTGAGCTGCCTGGGCGGCAAGATTAATGGTCTTATCATGTGGCCAAGTGATTAGTGAGCTCTTAGTACTTATTACTCTGCATTATCACAGAATCCCCCGAGAGGTTTCTGTCAGCTGCAAGGCTGTGTTTGAGGCTCTCTAGATCACCACAATGCGGCATTGATTAATAGCGATGATATTAAAAGGAAAAACAAATCTAAAAAGTAAATAGCCTGTACATCTTCCTAAATTGTATTCACTTGGATTGAGTCCCATTCGATTTTTAGAAATAAATCTGACATAGACAGAAGAGATACAGCTGTGGGTAAGCTGTTGTTTTTTTCTGCTTTGGCACAAAATAGCTCTCTTTCAGTGGATGTGTTGGGAGAATGAAATGTGGTGATGATGATTTTGGGAGCCTACACCTGGAGCTGGCTCATACAATATTCAGTGTGGGATATTTTATTAAAGAGAGTTGGCCCCCTTCAATATCCTTCCAAGATGGCCAAACTTCATAGCTATGCTCCTGCTTTGTGTTGGAGGTCGTAACATTTCAAAATCACGCTCTAAAACACATGTACAAACACATAGAGGATGCTCACATCTCAGCCTGCATATGAATGAAAGCAGAATTATGTTTTTGTTATTGGGTTTCACAGAAAAGGACAAACCTTTCAATGCATCAGTGATTTAAGCAGCTGTAAGGGAAAGTGTGTAAAACGTATTAGAGCTGCAAAGTAGTGTAACATGAACAAACAGTTGATACTTGGT